AACGTTACAAGGACAGGGAGGCAGCTCAATGCAGCGAAGCCCGTCCCAGCTCTGATTTGAACTGGGAGATGGACTTCACCTCCGCCACACTGGGCTCACGTTCACTCCACTCCTTGATGGTGCGAGGGAAGAACGAGAGCCTGTAATAGTTGTTCTTACTCGCGATGGTCTGCAGCTTTAAAGCGTGATTAGTGCGGCGGGAGCATCGAGCTGCCGGGACAAGACACGAAGTGTGGGGGACAGAGATGGTGTTGTGCAGGACTTTAAACATTGTAGTAAGCCTGGCCATTTTGCGGCGATGTTCGAGTGACTGCCAGTCGAAGAAGGTCTAGTGTTTCTGGGTAAGGGGCAAGCCTTAGCCATCTTCCATTGAGCTGGGAAATTGCATCCCATCAGTGACAGATTACAGATATGTCTAACATGTGCAACGATGTAAGGTGTAGCCAGTCAGAGTAATTTGTTCTCTAGCTGGTCTGTCCCACATGTTGTAGACATGAGTATATGAAGTAGTAAGAACGGCATCCATGTTGACTGGATTCAACTGAAAAGAGCATGGTGTTCTGGTCGATAAGACCAGTACCATAATTGTTACTACATCACTACATCAGGATTAGGTTCGTTACCAGGTGACAAAGGGCGCAGCTCAACGAGTTGCGACACTTGGGCAGACGACTTGCTTTTATTTACTTCATACACTTCCTTCTTTCCTATGCAGACGAGGTTCTCCCAGCACGTCAGCTTCTTGCGCCACTCCTTCATGTCTTCTCTCATCACGCAGTGGAAGATGAAGATGAAGAGGCCCTGGAGGGTGTTGAAGATGCAGAACAGGTAGGCGAAGACAACATGGCGCCCGTCAGCGATGACGAAGAAGCCGAACACCCACGTGAGGCCAAACAGAGCCATGATGCTGCAGGCTCGACGAATCTGGCGGGTTATCCACTGACGATTTACCTCGATAGCATCAGCACCTGTACATTAAAAAGCAAGAATTCGGAGATCTCATACCTCCATGATATATATAAGTTTTCGTAAATTTTGACAATGTAAATAAGGTCGTTATTACCACAGTCTACTTTAATTTATGGTTTTCTAAATTTAATCTACAATATTTTGCGTGTAAAATACCTCTCCACTTCATTTAGCGTGTCCTCATTATTTATGCAAATGACCTCTACATTAACATAATGTTGTTAACATACTGATGTTAACCTTTAAGTAACTTGCACATGTCACAAGGTATAAAATTCCCATCATTCACCAATATGGAATCACAGAATTTTTTACATTAATTATGCAAATTAGGCATTAATTTGCATAGTTAGTATCCGTTGGTGTTCCACCTGCAATGAATTGAATAGCGTAAAGATATAAAAGCACTATTGTATAAAACACTGTAATTACAGAATTTCCTTCTTAATTAAGCAAATTAAGTCTTCATTTGCATTATGTTTTATTTCATTGTGTACATCTCTCAGCTACCTACATACTAAAAATGATGAAAATCACTTATTCCACTTATTCCTGACAGGAAAAGCTTAGCCTATCTGCCACCAAAATGTCAAGACCATAGCATGTTTAAGAATAAAAATACGAAATACAAAAATTGAAAGTTCTGCTACAGTTGAATTTCCTTCTTAATTAAGCAAATTAAGTCTTCATTTGCATAATGTTTTATTTAATTGTGTACATCTCTCAGCTACCTACATACTAAAAATGATGAAAATCACTTATTCCACTTATTCCTGACAGGAAAAGCTTAGCCTATCTGCCACCAAAATGTCAAGACCATAGCATGTTCAAGAATAAAAATACGAAATACAAAAATTGAAAGTTCTGCTACAGTAGTACCAAAGTCAGCCACCGGGAAGCCCATATTTGACCTTGACCTTTGACTTCCTATGACTTACCAACGTACATCATCACAATCCATAAAGACGTTCTGATTTGATGCTGACCACAAAGTTGCCAAAACACACAAACACAGACAAACAGACACGCCAAAAACAATACCTCCCTTTTTTTCATAGAGGTATAAAACGGTCCACCGTCATAATTTTCACTGTGTTTGTGTTAGTGTGAATTGAATGCCTGCGTGTGTCTCTCTCTCCTCTCTCTCTCTCTCTCTCTCTCTCTCTCTCTGTGTGCCTGTGGTATGTGTGTGCCTGTGTATGTGTGCGTGTGTATGTGTATGTGTGCGTGTGTGTGTGTGTGTGTGTGTGAGGGAGACAGGGAGAGAGAGAGTGTGTGTGTTTGTGTGTGTGTGTGTGTGTGTGTGAAAGAGAGAGGGAGAGAGAGAGTGTGTTTGTTTTGTGTGTGCGTGTGTGAGAAAGAGAGGGAGAGAGAGAAAGAGAGAGAGAGAAAGATTGTGTGTGTGTGTGTGTGTGTGTGTGTGTGTGTGTCACGCATACATAACTTTCTTTTACATGGACGGATGTCTACTGTAGGTTTTTCTCATATCTACCTCTTAACTCTTTCTGTGCCTTTTCTTCCAGGACCAGTTTGCGCATGACCAAGATGAAGACGAGTAAGTTGAAGAGTAGGATGAGACCAGCTGGGATTAAGAAGGCATAGATCAGAGGTTCACTTGCCAGCCAGCAACTGTCAAAAATTAGATAATAGAAAATTTTTTAATCTATGTAGCTTTAATATATGTAGCTTTAATCTATGTCGCTTTAATCTATGTAGCTTTAATCTATGTCGCTTTAATCTATGTAGCTTTAATCTATGTAGCTTTAATCTATGTAGCTTTAATCTATGTAGCTTTAATCTATGTAGCTTTAATCTATGTAGCTTTAATCTATGCCGCCTTAATCTATGTAGCTTTAATCTGTGTAGCTTTAATCTGTGTGGCTTAAATCTGTGTAGCTTTAATCTATGTAGCTTTAATCTATGTAGCTTTAATCTATGTAGCTTTAATCTATGTAGCTTTAATCTATGTCGCCTTAATCTATGTAGCTTTAAACTGTGTAGCTTTAATCTATGTCGCTTTAATCTATGTCGCCTTAATCTATGTAGCTTTAATCTGTGTAGCTTTAATCTATGTAGCTTAAATCTGTGTAGCTTTAATCTATGTAGCTTTAATCTATGTAGCTTTAATCTATGTAGCTTTAATCTATGTAGCCTTAATCTATGTCGCCTTAATCTATGTAGCTTTAAACTGTGTAGCTTTAATCTATGTCGCTTTAATCTATGTCACCTTAATCTATGTAGCTTTAATCTGTGTAGCTTTAATCTGTGTAGCTTTAATCTATGTAGATTTAATCTATGTCGCCTTAATCTGTGTAGCTTTAATCTGTGTAGCTTTAATGTATGTAGCTTTAATCTATGTCGCCTTAATCTATGTAGCTTTAATCTATGTAGCTTCAATCTATGTCGCCTTAATCTGTGTAGCTTTAATCTATGTAGCTTCAATCTATGTCGCCTTAATCTGTGTAGCTTTAATCTATGTAGCTTTAATCTGTGTAGCTTTAATCTATGTAGCTTCAATCTATGTAGCTTTAATCTGTGTAGCTTTTATCTATGTAGCTTTAATCTATGTAGCTTTGTTTCTGGGATCTGTCTACCGATAACCATTATGCACTCATCTATCAGAACAACATCTACGGTGGCATTATGCAAAATACAAAAAAATGTATTTGTTAGTACAAAAATGATCAGGTGGTTTTAATGTAGAGGTGGTCACTACATGTTTGCCTGTATATCAATGACATGGTGGTCCATATACACAATGCTGCAAGTGCAGATTTGTCAGGTTTGGTCTCTATGCAAATTGCAATGGCAGCAATGCTACGTGAGAGATTTAAAAAAAAACATACTGATGTTGTAAAATCTTGAAAATATTTAATCATTTATTTTTTTCGCTAGGATGAAGATACAACCAACTAGCACGGGGCTAATACGAGCTAATATACGAGCTAATACGAAACTGCATCGGACCGCCGGCCGGTAATTTGTTGTGAATTACCCACTCCAGACGGTATAACTTGAACCATCGCGCACCGGGGCATGCACCTACTCTTTTCCGAAAATTATCATGGACATGGTGCATCTTTGACATATCCAGAAGATGAAGAAATTCAAAAATCAAAACAGTGGGACTACCCTACTTACGATTTGTCCATCCTATATCGGTAGAGACTAGAGGGTCCCACAGTTGACAGCGTAGCAACAAGAGGAAGGCCTGTACAAACATGTCAAAGCGCTTTTAGAAATTAATCAATTAATTTTTGTAATTGTTAAGGCCGAATGACAACAGTGGCCGATTTATATGAATAAGATATAAAAATATATGAAACTTGCGTCAACCAATTGGAATTGCGTATCCCGTTACCGTTGTGTACCGAATTTGTGAAGAAGGAAAAAAACTTACGCCAAAAACAGTTACTCGCAGCTGGATATGATATTGGAAATGGCAAAATATTTTAGGTAGCATCCATTACATTTTGTCAGTGATACTGGAGAAATATAGAAATCAGCACTTCACTAGGGTAACTGTGTTATGGTTTTTATTACTTGAATGTCTAACATCCACAGACAAAGCAAAAACTTACCCCACGCTACAGCCCCAGCCTTGATGATGAAGTTCCCAGAAACATAGTCAAAAACATGCACAACGGCTCGGTATACGTTAACGGCTTCCACTGCCATCCACATCAAAGCAGCCAATAGGAAATAGTGTAACAATGCCGCCACAACCTTACAACCAATGGGAGAAGCCGTCCGGTTGATGCCAGCGAGGAAGATGACGAGAGTGGCCAACAGAGCCACACATAGGTTGATGAGAATGAGTAGCTGGCTCTTAGCATGGCCTGTTCTGGTTCGGCGTTTGTCTAGTCTGGAGTTAGAAACACACCATGTTTAAAAACACTATTTCCTGGAATTATAACCTTGCGATTTTTTATAAACATAGCGTTTGTTTTCCAGGAATTCGCAGACATTTGACCTCTACTATACCTTTTTTGTCTTTCCTGGAATACGATATATATATATATATATATATA